ATTTTTTTGTTCATTTTGAATATTATCTTTGTATTCATAGATCTAATATTAATATATAGACTAATGTGTATAGAAAATTAAAATGTGTATTTGTGCAGTCTAACGTTAAACAACTCATAGACTTAGCTTAGAAGCCATGACTTGGGAAACATAGTTTGTAGGTAATGCGTGGAGAGAGGTAAGAGGTCCAGAATGCTTCAGAACGTGGTAAAATCCTGCCTCTCTCTATTGGCTGAACAGGGAATCTGAAGTTAGATGTCATTCACAACCATTTACACATTTCTACTTCATTGCTACTTGTTCTCAGTTCATTTTACTATTCAGAATTATTGTGTGGAATAATGGAATAACAGGGCTTTTTAAGATAGTTCTCTGCTAGTGCTGGCTTGAGAATTTAATCTCTACTTATCTAATTCTTGGGCTTTCCTCACCACTTGTTCTCAGAGAATCTGGGGCTCTGACGGATGAATTAGAACAGTATCCCAACATGTATAGTATTAACATGTATAGTAAATTGCATAGAGCATCTGCTCTTTGCTTCTGCACTTCTGCTTTTCTGTTGGGATTTTTTGTTTGGTTGGTTGGGTTTTAGTACTATGTCATTTGGGTAGGAGGAAGATCCTTGTGATCTAATAGCAATCAGATTTTAGGGGCAATTTGCTAAATAATTCTGCTGCTAGCAAAATAAATCCCTGATTGCAGAACAAGGCAGTACGTAAGCTGTCAGGTCCTTTTGAAAACTTCAAATAATGCTGTGCAAGTATGAAGCTGCAATTACCTAGTATATGAAGACATTAATACCAGTTTAAGTACTGTGGATTAACTAATTTATTTTTCCCCCAGTAGACTATACTTCCAGATATTAACAGTATTTTCTCATGTGTTTGTTGTGTCTTGAAATGAGGATGGCAGCCTTATGCAAGAAGTTCAACTTATAGTCTACACAGCCCCTAAACATTGAGGGATACCTCTGTAATCAGTAAGAGGGAGCAACCACAGATTTCATTGGAGATAGTTATGAAGTATGTAGTCATTGGTTTGTTTATTATGGGTTTCTAATTCCTACTCCTTCTCCCCTGTTGTGGCTTACTGCCACATCCAGACGATTGATGTTGCTGCCTGTCTCATCTGGGGAGCATACAGTCACATTTCAGGTAATATAAACCCAGGAAGTACCAAGACTCTCTTATTATTATTATTACTACGACACTTTCTGCCAAGTTCAAAGATCAGAGTTGTAAAAGTAGGCATACTTTCTGGATGTTAACTAAAGCCTGTGTGTCTTTGTCTTCTGGCCAGCAAAGATAGATGGGTTATTAGTAGGCAACAGTTGGCATTTTTTTGTTAATGTTGTTAATGATAGATAAGCTATGTATAATGTCACTAAATGTTCTACTTTGATATTCAAGAAGAAGGATCCTGCTTTTTTTTTTGGACATTGTATTACTAGGGAATAATGAAGCTCAACTTTGATTGGCTTTTTGCAAGCTCTGGATGGAAAGTCACATGTGGCAAGCAAGTATGTTTCAGTTTAAGCTTTGTTTCTTTCAATATAGATACTAAGGACATTTTCTGTAAAGAACATTGGCTTATTTTAGTTTTTGATCTCTGTTCTAAATTGAAATTTTAGAAAGCCTCTTTTTCTGAAAACAAAGTAATATGGTGAGCCTCTATATGAAAGACTGGAATACAGCAAAATGTGCTCTTTCTCTGTCTTTGCAAATACCTTGCAGAGTAGTGTGTCCTGATATTTTGTGGACTTTGGGGAGGAAGAGTGTTTTTCACAGAGATTAGAAAAAAATACTGTGCTCACTATAATACCTCTCACGAGATTGCTGGAAAAACAACAAAGCTTTCTCAGGAACCTTTATCTGAAAAATAAATCTGTGCAGACAACTTATTTCAGCGGCAGATGTCCATTGCTAAGCTTTACAAATTAAGGGCAGTTCTGTGGGGAATCCCTAGATCCAGTCTTCCACTTGTTGTAGTCAATAATTGTTATGGACAATAAACTGTGCCTTTTATCTCTATTTTTCAGTAGTCAAACATTCTGTTTACTGAAAAATAAATAGTTTTTCATTTATTAATTTTAGCAATTGAATCAATACTTTTCTCTGTTGAGTGTCTGCTATTATCTTATCATCAATAACTGGAATCCAGTAATTGCAAACACATTTGTAAATATTATATATATGTCTTATAAACCTGAAGTGAAAAACTTCTCTGGGATTTTTGTTGGTGTTTTTTTTCTTTCTTTCTTTAGCAAACAGCAGGTTAGAAAGTATAAATCAGATTTTGCATGGATTGGCTTGCTCTACTCCCATAGCAGAGTGAAGTAATGGAAATATGAAATACTTTGCTTTCTGGCAGAACTGCATATCAATTTACAGCCTTATGTGTGCCTGAAAAACCCCAAAGCATCTTAAATGTGACTTGGAAAGAGTTCCTTTAATGTTGTTGTACCCTTCATTGCCTCTTCCTCACCTTTTTTTCCTTTTTTTTTTTTTTTTACCCCATCTTACAGTAAGGAAAGCCTGAAAGATTTTTGTTGATAAGGCTGTTTTTTAAGGACTAGGAAGATATTCTGGTTGTTCCTGACTAGGAAATATCAAGTCAGTTCTTGTTTTTCCTTTGCTTGAAGAGATCAGAAGTGTGAACTTATTTGTGATGGAAGCTGCATTGCTGTATCTAAGCCTATTAGAAACACTGTGGTTGAAATATCTCTGGAGGTCAGAGGTTTATTAGCTTTCATCTTAGGATCTGCAGTTTGAGTGCAAGTGTGCTTATTTTAGGTTGTCACCATAGAAAACCACTGATTTGGTGTGGCTCTGGACTCATGTGTTGGCCTGTGGGCAATAAGATCTTATCCTGTATTACTTCAGTCTTCTCTATCTGAAAAACTATGTTTTGCTTCGTAAAATGTTATTGCAATAAATGGATAAAAGAGTAGAAAATGTAGATCTACACACTCAAATGACTTAGCTCTGAAAATAGATTATTCATTAAGATTTACTGAATATTTAAAAGGAAAAAAGCAAAATTGCTTCCGAGATACATCATCAAGAGATCAGATTTAAAGAGCTGGAATATAAGTATTCTAAAAATTCTGTACTGATGATGTCTCAACTGAAGTAACGTGCCCAATCTAGGGTACTACATTTTAAACAAAATGTAGAAGAACTGAAAAGGTTCCAGGGTATGCAGCAAAAAAAAAGTTTGGAGAATGTAGCCTTACAGGAAAATTTGAAACAGCTTGGTTTATTTAGTTCAGGACAGAGAAGAATGAAGAGAGACTAATAATAATATGAAGTACTTAGCAGTTAAAAAAAAAAAAAAAAAAAGCCCAGACAGACAGTAATTGATTATTTTCAATGTCTGCTAGATTTAGATTAAGACTGAGATGCTTAATTTTCTCTGGACATGAAAGTAACTGCAGATGCAGGAATGAGCTTTAATATTTAGGTTGCAGTTTTAACTAAGTAGATAAGAGCAAGGGTTACATGACTCCTGCCATGTAGCCCATTACTCAGTTGAAGCTGTTATTAGAATAGCTACAGAACTTGATCTTGGAATCCATCTGTTGGAAGGAGAGTGGAGGTCTCCGAGTGCCACGACACAGCTTCCTTTTGCCCTTATTGCAGACTGTTACTCAGCCATTGTCCTCAAGTCTTCTGCCCAATGGAATAAGCTGGCAAGATTTTCACTAAAGGTTTAGGATAGGTGCTAAGAAAAGCTCTTAGACTATAAGCATAGCTGATTTCTGCATTAGCTACCTAGACAGGTCTTTAACCCTGTCACTGGAGAGATTTAGAAACCACATTAGACATAGGTCACAAATAGCCTAGATTTATATTACCTAGTCTCGGAAAAGGTAGATGGAGTTGCTGATTCTCCTTTGGTTGCCTTAAAATAATTCCTAAGAATTGTTTAAAAAATACTTCTGCACATCCAAAATATTCTTTCTGTTCTAAACTTATATTACTCAAATGGTTTTGGCTCTGATTTCCTCTGATGGCCAAAGTGCACTGCAGAAAGTTAGGATGGACCCTTGAATGAATTCGCTGAATGTTCTCTCTGTGAGAGAGAAAGTGTAAACATGCAACTGTATTATCCTCCGTACTGAAGGGCAGCACTGTGATGGGAGCTGCATTTGCAGTCATGATATTTGCAAAATGGAACACTTGTGTGTGGATTTGGGAATAAGAAGCTTCAGAAATGTCTGTAGCAAGCATGTATGCCAGCAGGATAACGGGTAGTGTCTCTTCATATATACGCTATGTGCTCATTTCAGTGCTTGTTTCTGAAAGTGTGTAGCATTTCTTCTTTCTTCAGCATTTTCTCAACTCTCTTCCTTCTTCCTACTCAGTAATTTAAAAATGATATGTGATAGTTAACAAGGTACTTCCACTTTTCTAAGTTAGATAACGGATGTAATGTTTAACTGTTGTCTTCTAGGGCAGATTGGAAGGTAAAAAAAATGTATTTGGCAATGTTTTTAACACATTTAAGTTATCAGTGGCAGTGTATAGCTTGGCCAGTTCTAAAACTGATGGTGAATTGTATTTCTGGATACATACCGGGTATTCTGAGATCTTAAAATATAGTCAGTCATTTGTAGCTATTTTGTGTATTTCTTTGCAGAAAGCTTACTCATGTTGAACTGACTGTAACTGCACCATAACTCGAATGTTGTACTAATCAAGACCTAGCAATGGAGAATGGAATACTTTAAAGTGGCTACATCAAGATCTTACTATCTCAAACACTCAGCCTTAAATCGTGACTTCAGAATATACATACACAAAATATAAACAAACTTACATTCTTCTACGTAAAGTCTTAATATATATTCCAAAGAATATATATTTACATTAAAGAAAAAGTGAAAAGCAAAAAAAAAAAAAAAAGCAGTAATTACTGTTAAATCAATCCTATTTAGATTCCAGGCTTTTTAACTGAAGTGAGGGCTTTATTTTCAAGAAATCGAAGACAGAAGTAACTCAAGCCAAGGAACTATCAAATGGCTCTTTTTCCTCAGGAGTCCCATGCTTTCTGACCGGGGCCAAATGATCTCTGTGGTATTTAGCAGTAATTGCAGCATAGGCACAACCATAAACAGCAGCTGCCAACATCATTAGACACACAATTCCACAGACAACTCCAGTTATTACTACAGTGGCAATTGCATGACGCAAACTAACAGGCCTTGGCTTTGGTTTGGGTTCGCAGTTTGAACGGCTGTTTTCCCCGTGTTCATTGTGATGAGCATGCTTCAGAGAACTTCTGTGCTCAAAGCTATTGTGGTGAATGCTAGCCAGATGAACGTGAGCTGTTGTTAGAGGGCATGCCCCAAACAGCTCATAGGGAACTTGGAGGAGGTCCTTTCCCTTCCGAATCCCTGGCGTTGAGCAGATAATTCCATCACTTATTCCTCCTGGAAAAAAAAAAAAAAACAGATTTATGGTCTTAAGGTTTGGTGGTTTCTGAATTATCTTGATGTAAAATTAACAGAAACCTGAAGTAAATTTATCGTCATCTTTGACTTTATACTTTTAAAGATTTATAACTATATTTTTAAGATCTTTTTCCAGTTAGATCAATGGTGAGATTATTACGCTTTAACACTCATATAAGAGAGCATTTGCAAGAAGCAATTAATCAGGAATTAAGTTATCTATGACTTTATGGATGTAAAAGTAAAAAACAACAGTGGAATAAAACTAAGTCACGGATGAAAACAAAGAGGTATTGTTAACAGCAAATTAATTCCATTCAAATTCATACCTTTGCTTCTTTTTATAAAGAGAAATGGAAAAAATATACTTAGTAAAGATTTCCCACTTGATTGAAATAGTCTGTGAAATAGTCATTGTTCTGACACCATATGCTAACTATAATGAAGCAATGAAAAAGCTCAGTAAATTCTATGTATACGTGAGCAATTTTTTGAAGCAAAGCTCATGGTAAGAAAATATACAGACAGAGATCTAAAGAAGTTAAGATTAATCAATCTATTACCCTGCTGAAATGGTAAATTGCATGATAGCTTAGAGCGAGCTTCTGCTCTCTCCCAAAGGACGTTTTTAGTGTAATGGGAAGTGAAGTAGGAAGCCTCAGTCCTGGTAAATCACACAGTTGTTCCTCAGCGTGTAGAGGAACACACAATGAGCATAACCTTTAGGTTTCTAATTAGTCCATACCGCATGACTTTGGGGGTGTAGCATGTCAAGGAGCCAAGAAGACCAAAACCAATGTTTGCATCTTTTTTAAAAATAACTAATCAAATCAGCTGAATTGTCTTCCTCTTCTCTAACCAAAATAAACCACCTTCCAGCTAAAGCCAGGCATAGAAATTTTCATCCTGAAAAGACTTTGTCTGAGAAAGTAGTGAATACAGATGGACCCAAACTGACATCTGGAGACTACTCCAGAAATATTGATGATATTCCAAGACAGATATGAGCATAGCACCTTGTCTCTTGATCTTTAATAGCCAAACCCAAAGTGTGGTTCCACACACCTTTAATGTGTTAGTTCGAATGTGGATATAGACAAAACTCCAAATCCTGCAACTGTGATCCTTCTATGATTTTGAGTAACAAAATATGTGTGCTTGGAATAGAAGACTGGAGTCTCACCTGAGCTGAAGCATTCTCTGTAATTATTTACAAGTATGCATCAAATGTCAATTGCCTGAGCTGGATTCAGCTAAAAATACTGAAATCTTTTAGAGTTATATTGGACACCACAGTCAATCCTTTAAATTCAGACAGTGCTCCATCTGTAACAAGGACTTGCAAGAAGTATTTGTAAACCCACAGTACTATTTCATCGTAAGTATACAATATAATTAATGGGAAAGATTAATGTGCAACGTACCTAAATGTTCTTCATGTGATTCACACAAGTAATTTTAGGGAAATATAAACACAAAAAGAGAACATAGTATTTGGGCTTCCTTTAAAACTTGTTGCTAAAATGAATTTGTAAGTTCCATATCACTTCATTTAAGTAATCTCTGCAGCATTCAGAAAGATGGAAGGGCATCACTGAATTTCTAAACAGTGTTGGTCTTTGAAATAAATGACAATATTTATGCTGCTGGCAAAGTAATTAAGATAATCTGATATGTTTATCTTGGATCATTACATTCTTCTGGACAGATAAGCCAGACCCCCTGAAGTTTGTTGTAGGTAATGCTTCCAGCATAATGCAGCTAACACCCTGGGATAGAATAATACTTTACTAATCCAAAATATTAAGATTTTAAACCTGAGAGGAGTTCAGCCCTTTGTCTTTTCTAAGAGGTTGCTTCTGGCAGTGGCTTTACCTCACCTGGAGACTATTCCTGTATCAATTGTGTCCCTACATAGTCAGTACAGTTTTCGAGCTGGCCGTAGAGTTCTGATGCCTGAAAATGGCAGTCCATTCAATCACAGGCAACATGGACCATCTTCACATACGCTGTGTTGCAACATGCTCCATGCCACTTCCATATACAGATAGGTAATCAGTAGTTTGATCACATGCAAACATCGAAGCCTGATTTAGAGAAAAGCAAATTGCCCTGCTGTTCTGAATTCTCAGAGTCTGAACATACCTTCCATGAGAAAGAAATTAATTTCCTTTAATACTTAATTTCTTTAGAATTAAATAATATTCTCTTTTCTACAGCATAACTCATGAATATATTTAATAGCAGGTGTGACAAAAATATGAGGCTACTTTTATTTATAAAATCCACTTTTCCCCATGTGATGGCATTACGTATTTCTGTCAGGAAATTGTCAATTAATTTAGTACCTCTTCTGGTTAACAACAAATCAGGAAGCAATACTAGTCAAGAGTCCAAGGTGTAACATACATTTTTAGGTAAAGTAATCTTAAACTATTAAAGAGCTACTAAGTGATAATTTATAGAGGAATTAGAATCCTGAGTTCTCTAAAGTTAAATCACTATTGATATGTCTTGATGTTTACCCTCATGCATCAGGTAAAAAGCTTTTAAACAGCAGGTTGGTTTCTAGGAAAAATACCTTGGTAGAATTAAAGTCAGTGTATGTGCACAAGTATACTTGTTATATATGGATAGATATGAATATATATGCATACACACACTACACACATGTATTTCCAGAAGTATCTGTACATACTATATGGTTCTATGTGTATGCGTTCTCTCTCTTTGTGCTAACGTAAAGTTCCTCTATGATTCCAGTTTGCCACCTGTATTTATGAAAGCACCTATATTCTGATGTGTGCATAAGAATACATTTTAGTGTGCTTATTTGAAGGGGTGATCTAAGGTGTGGGGTAGATTGTTAAGCCATAGTTGTGAAGATCAATTAGATGCTGGTTAAGTGTTCTCATGTGCATTGTATGTAATGAGAAGAATTCCTTACCTCTGTACAAAAAGCTCTCCAGCCACAGTTTCAGGCCAAAGACATTACAATTACATTGCCAGGGATTATCTTTGAAATGAACCACTTTCAGGTTTGGAAGTGACTCCAGGAGAACTCTTTCCATTTTCTGAAGTTTGTTATGCTTCACAGACAGCAATGTTATATTCCCTGTGCTGTTTCCAAAAGTCTCAGGCAAACGTATAATGCTGTTGGATGACAAGTCCAGTTCTTTTAGGCGTGGGAGGAAACTGAAAGTCTTGTTTTCTATATAATGAATCAAATTTCTGGTTAGGTTTAGAACCTGTAGATACCGTAATTTTTGGAAAGCACCTGGTGCCAAGCTTGAGAGAGAATTATTAGACAAGTCTAAGATTTTGAGCAACGGTGTTCCAGTGAATGCATTTTGGTTGATTCTCCAAATACGATTATTCTGCAACTGTAGTATCTGAATTTCAGAAGGTAAGCGGGCAGGAATTTCAGTAAATCCTCTATTCTTGCAGTCTGCAGTCTTTGAAGCTGTATAGCATAGGCATTTGTCATGACATCCATGAGCTGCATATGTTAACAAGATGACACTCAGCACCAAAATCCAGTTACCTGTATCACAAGTGAAACAAGATTTAAGATTAGTTTAAAATGTTTGTCTTTTGTCTATATACAAGTCATTAACATGGGCGAAGAATATACAGCTCCATAATAAACATTAATGTAGATAGTTCACTACTTTTACAATACATTAGTAAATTACAGATAGTATTGAAGTACTTTTATAAGGCAGAATGAAGTTAGTGCTTCCATGGTCTTAAAATGAAGTACTTCCCATGGCTTTATCTTAAGTACAAGTGGTTTTCAGGAGGATTTGCCATCAGCAGAGCAGTGATGTTTGAAGGAAATGCAACAGAGTTTCTAAAATTATTAAATGGGATTGTTTCTGTTTCTGCGGTAGTTAACAACTTTGAGCCATCTTGTGTCAGAAGAATTGCAAGTAGAACTTTCATTTGTCTGTTTTTACCAATTGTACTACCTAAAAAGAATTAAGTTAACATGCCATCAAAATAATGACAAGCTTCAAAAGACATTGCTATAAAAAGTTAACAGTACTTTTTCAGCAATCCACATTCTGTTTGTTCTTTAAAATATGGATGTTTATACTTATTGCTTTAATTTCCTTATCTGAATGCCAGCTGTTCCTCCCATTGATACAAGTTTCTACACAATCAGCAAACATTTTTCAAGGAGCTGTTAAAAAGATAAATGAGTTGACAGGAGTACTTAGTAATATTTAGTATTTATAATTATCTTCTGCTCCCTGATGTTCAGGTCAGTTTTTACCTTTCATATCTTGCTAATGATCTTACTTTGAAAACAAGGTGCCACTTAAAGCTATGTTCATATACACAGCATGAAATTAAAAATGATCAAATGATGTTGAATAATTAGATTTTCTTTGTCTAAAGAAAGTCAGAATGATAAATCCTTCTGTAACATTGTTTTTGAGATGCCTTAAATTATTTTTACTATTTCCTATTTAAAAATGAAAAGCATTTTAGTTAGTTACTGCTTGAAACCTTTGGAAATTAAAGGACATACTGCTTATTGACTTACAGAGATCAACATTAATTAGTAACAGGGAATACCATATTAAAGGAATAACAGTGTATGATTATAACATTGAATATGACAAATTTATAAATGAAAGTTTTATTTTGAGACTACGGTTTGTCACAAAATACTCATTAATTTTCACTCAAAAATGAAATTGTATTTATATTAAAATTATACATAATCTTCTGCAATACTGAATTCAACATTGTAGAATTCCCTTGAAAGGATTCAGCATTCTTGCATGCAAGGTAAGCAATACTTCCAGTTCATTACATTGTTCTGCAACAGTTGGCTTCAGAAACTCAGACACAGCTTCCAATGTAGAGTTAAAATAAACATTGCTTGGCAAGGAAATGCTTAGAGAACACAAAATTTTCATTATTAATCTGAATGTTTCAATATCTCACCTCTCATTCTGCTTTGCTTGATCTTCACCTCGCAGAAGACTCAGTCCAGTTTTCTGATGTGGAACAGTAACAAACACTTTGTTCTGATTCCCACTTCAAATCTGTAACGTGCTCATCAGTTTCCTTTCTCTGTGTGTGTGGTTTGTTTTTTTTTTTAAGATGGTATCTGTGGCTTGTGTATAAGTGCAACTATTTCTAGTAAGTTACTCCATCAGCCTTTTATTTTTTCTTTATCACAGTCGTCTGTCCGTCCCCCCCCCCCCCCCCCATTTATGACTCTCAGAGACTTACTCTGCCTCTTAATCAGTCAACAGGCCATGCAAAGAGTGTCTGTCAACTCTAACTGGACAGCTGTAACATACAAATAATGACCTGATAGCCTTGCCTTTTCAATTTATTTAATCTGCCTCAAATGCAAGGCACAAAAATAAAGCTGCCTTTTTAAATCCAGTATAGTTTCTGAATTCTGGTGGATTATTAGCTATGCTGTGTCAATTTTTGCAAGATCAGATGACTCTGAACATGGATTCTGATTATCCTGGACTGTGGCTGGAGGCAGTCGAGCGTATAATATCACTACGAATAGGCCTATGGGTTGATGACATGGTTTTGACAGCTCTTCTAAGCTTATTCATCTGACATCCATTAGTTGTGCTGACAGGATTTTCTTGCATGGGAACACAGGACTGGTGGCTCCTTCCATAAAAATGGCATACATACTGGTATGGTCATCAAGAATACTGAACAAATTTATTTATTTTCAAAGATATTGGAAAGAAATGGCAGATGATATTAGAATTGTACTTCATGTGTTCATATGGTGCCTTGACTTGTCTCTGTTACTTCTTCAGTATAACTCATTCATACTGTGCCACCTACAACAATAAATGGATTAATGACTTGTGACTATGAAGGAACTCAAAGGTGTTTAAAGGAATGAGAGATCTGGTATATAATAGAGCCTTTCAAGGCCATATGATCACTCTGTTAGCTGTCCTATGGAGAGGGAAGATGTGCAATCAAAAGCTTTCAGACATATTCTATACATAACATAGCTTTCTTGGGTTCAAATTCTGCATTTAGGTGCTCTTAAAAAGATTGTACAAAGGTCACTTTCTAGGGCAAAATTTATATGCTATAGGCAATGCTATGGAAGGAATCATAGAAAAGTGAAATCATCAGGTCCAAACTGCTGTTCAAAGCAGGGTCTTACAAGAGGTTATCCAGGGTCCTGTCAAGCTGAGACTCAGATATTTCCAGCAAGGGAGATTCCATCAGTTCTCTGAGCAACCTACTCCAATGTGTAACTGTTCTCAGCATTAATAATTTTGTCTTACATCCAGACAGAGTTTTCCTTGAAGCAACTTGTGTCCATCACCTCTTGTCCTGTCACCGTGCATCCACGTGAAGAAAGTAACCCCATCTTCTCCATAGCTACCTTCTGTTTACTGAAAGTCTGTGTTTAGATCTCTGGCACCCTCACCCACAGGAGAGAGCTGTAACTGTTATTATTATATGCTTTGCTGAATTGTTTCTGACATCAATCAAGATACCCAAAGGAACAGTAAATACTGAAGGAGAATGTAGAACAACTGACATTCGGTAAAGTAAGCATGACTTCATCTCGAGGATACTAGGATTATTGCTACAAATGGCAGACCATACTGTCCTTGACGCTCTTGATGAACGACACATCGTCCTGATACAGGATGAAAGTCTGCGATTTAGTGTAGAGGAACACTGTAGATGTAGATTACCTGGTACCATAGTCATACTAAATAACTCCAACTTTACAAAGGGAGAGGGACATAAGCTTAAAGATCAGCTGTAATGTGCTTTAATTTAGATGAATGTCAGGTTAAAGTGAAAAGCTTCTCTAATCTTTGTTGCACAATACACTTATTTGCTATTTCCTTTCCCAATCCATGTATGTGCACACATATGCAAACATATAAACAGACCTATCTTAAATAGTACCAGTGAATCATTTTAATGAGGACAGAACTAAATGTAAAAACGGCTATTATACTCTGCTTTGCTCTTTCAAAGAACAAATTTAGGTCAGGTACTTGTTGTTTGAGATGACATCCCTCTGTCATTGCAATAACTCATCCCTTGTATCAGTGATAGCCCTTGTCATTACTTTTGATTGTATTGCAGGAGATACTAGCTATTATGTTATTGTTCTCTGGTATGATAAGACTTTTTCACACTTTTAAATTCTCTTTCGTATCTAAAATTTTATTTTGGCTCATGAATTCAAAGGGTTTCTTTTTTGAGTTGTTTTTCCTTCTTAACTAATGTTTGCTGACCAGGTGGGCTGAAAAGCTCCCACAGCAGTTTGTGTCATCTAACAGAGGGCTTAAAGAATGTCTCTTAACTGCCTCTCTTATTTTAGGTAAGTCTTTGCTGCTATAATGGTATTATTTTTAGCATGCGCCATATTAAAGAGATCTTCATAGGACAAGGTCACTGAAAGTTAAGCACTGTGGGAGGTTCAGTTCCAACAATAATGCAGAGGTTGTTTTATGTACGCTGAATTGTGGTATAAGAAGTTAAAAATTACTTTTTTTAAAATCTTCATGCTGAGTTCAGATTTGGAAATGTATGATTAAATCTGTCAATTTGCTTTTTGTGTAGATGTGGCTATTTTTTCCTTATATTGAGAACCCTGAATGCACATGTTTTGTAAACAGAAGTTTCACCAACCTATAATCCATGTCCTATTCCCATTTATTAGTAATAATACTTTGGTTATGACAGAGAAGTCTGATGTGGTGAAAATTATAGTTGTGACACAGGTAGAGATTTGCCAGAAACAGAATAACCATGAAATCTACTCTACTTCTGGCCTTTTGAACAACCAGCATGATTCTTTTCAGTTGTCTGATGTGGTGCAGCAACTGTGTTATTGTGACTGCTTAGATTAACTTGTGCCTTGTTGTAACAGGATATGTTTCCCATTGCAAACAGCAAGACAGCACGATGAACTAATATCCTTTCCCTGTTGGCTGGTGGGGCAGTTCAGTGTTTGCTTTGCCAGCATTTTGTTGCAGCAATTCCTGCCATCTGCTTTAAAGGAGTAGTATGTGTAAGAATCATCTCTTTTACGGAAGAACATTATGTTAATTAAACTCTAGCAGAAAGGAAACAATTTAAATATTTCAAATATTTAAAAGCTACAACATTTGGATTCCACTGCATTGTATATCAAGTCCAGACAGACATAATTATATAAAAAAGAGTTCCTAAGACCACAGCAGAAAATTCCTATACATTCTCTTTATTAGGTTTGTTTTCCTTATGCTTTTGAGTGGGAAGGTATTAGAACTTGCGACGCTTACAGGGAAATGACATGTGCTTTCTCCTTACTAACGTGTGTCTCCAGATTGGTAAAACAGCTAGGCTTTTGCCGAAGACCCTAAATGCAACTCCGGGCAATGCAGACTCCTCTTCATTTTGGTTCAGGACAAAAAATAATTCATATTTGTTAGTGAAACAGCCCATACCTCTGTTGTTAAAAGTCTCCCCCTTTAACTGGCACTTAAAAAAAAATACAGTACTGCATCATAGAGAAAGGTCTTA